TCGTGATCACTCTCGAGAACAGCTTATAGACGTGGCTTAAAAGGGAAATGGGTCGATAATTCTTCAGTAGGGTTTTGTCACCCTTTTTGAAGAATAAGACGACCACACTCCGACTCCACGCCTCTGGAGTTCTCCCTTCAAACAGGACAGCGTTAAATAGCTTTTGCAGCTCCCTGAGTACCGGTTTGCTGCCTGCTTTTAGAAGCTCTGTCGTAACGCCATCCTCTCCAGGGGCTTTTCCATTTTTAAGCTGTCCAAGAGCGATCTCGATTTCGTCAATGCTGACTTCTGGCAGGTCTTCGGTGTAATGGCGTATTAAAGTGGCTCTAGAGTCCTCATTTCCGGGGTCAGGTCGAGATGCATGCGAAGCGTATAACCGGCCGTAGAAGTTTTCTACTTCCGAAAGAACTGCGGCTTCGAGACAACGACTTCTCCACTTGCTGTGGTCAACTTCGTCAGGTGGCTTCTTCCAAGAGATTGTACGAACACTTTTGGCCCCCGGTTTTGCTCGATCGCTCTCTCGATTGCAAGGGTATTCGAGCACCGGAGATCGTGTCGCACGTGTTTGCTAATCTCTCGGTTTAGAGCCCGCTTCTCTGACGAAGTGACGGGTGGGTTTTCACGTCGTCTCTTCATAAGCCCTAAAGTCTCTTCCGAAAGCTTCGACTTCTTGCCCTTACGCTGCATTTCACAAAATCTCGTACCTTCTTCCTGAGAACTCGAACCACGTTTTCAAGGTTCCGGTTAACGTCGGTTGTGGTTTCCAGGGCAGCAAATCGGTTCTCCAGGTTTAACTGAAACGCTTCAGATCCCATTTTGATTTGAAACAGGGTTGGTCGGAGCCTGGCCTTCATCAAGCGGACTCGTTCCGCTCTGAAGTCGATATTCAGAGAGCCTCGGACGAGTCGGTGATCGCTACCGGTATTAAACCTATTAATCACGGAGACGTCTCTGAATATGTGCCTTTTGTCCGCCATGATGAAGTCGATCTCGTTCTTTGTCATAGTGTCGGGGCTTTGCCACGTCCACTTCCTTTGGGGCTGCTTCTTAAAGAATGAATTCATTAAGAACATCCCCTCCCGTTCGAGGAAATTGACGAGCATTTGCCCCCTATGATTCCTGTTTCCATACCCATGGGATCCTACTACCGATTCACTGCAATTTTGTACTCCCACTTTGGCGTTAAAGTCCCCCATAACAATGTTGAAGTGAGTCCTAGTGGTGGAGTGGAGGGCCCTCGATATATCATCGAACATCTCCTCCACCTCATCATCGGAGTGTGCCGAGGTCGGTGCGTACACTTGGACCACCTTAAGGCTATACCTCTCGGTGAGCTTTATAATGAGGTACGCCACCCTGTTCGACACACTCGACATTTCCACAACATTGTTAGATAGGGACTTGTTAACCAGAAACCCAACGCAACGCACGCAATAAAAATTTTAGTAAAAGTAAAACTTGTGTAACGTCATCGTGGCCCAGAGATTCAGCCGCCTGCTTCTCATACACAAGGATGCGGGTTCGACTCTTAGCAAGCACTTACCAATGTGCCCTTTTCCGAGGTAGTACCTATACTTTATATGATGATTTAGACACCACTAACATACAGTGAAGGAAAACATCGTGAGAAAACCTGAACTTATAAGTTTTAGTAATAATTCATTCGCCAATTCGCCTTGAGCAAGAGTGGTAATTAACGTTCAAACCTTCTTCGTGTGAGAAGAGGTATTTGCTCAGCTGTGGGCACTTATAGGCTGATGATAAGCAACCAATCAGAACCTCTTAGCACTACAATGCACGTGGATTACACTAAACTTGAATGCCAAGTACGATTTTGCTTTACATTTGCACGATATCGACCAATTAATGACGTTTGACGCTTTGATTGGCTAGCTCCAAGTTAAACAACCAATCAGAGAGCTTAACGCGGTATCATTTAGATCGCGCTGTTGTAAAGTAAACTTGTAGTAGACACTCTTACCTAAAATAGTTGAGACATCAACTAACTGACTGTCAAATTTATTAAATGTTAGGAAAAATATTTAGTTTTTATTCCGCGACAAAATTCAGGCTTGTTGCAGGTTGCAATCCCACTCCTATGCAATCATGCATATGCACATGCAGCAAAGGTAACATGCATATGCACACGTGCAAAAAACGAAAAAACATGCCACGCATACTCAATATAGGTCGAGTATAGCTTTGGTCGACTATAGGTTGCCTTTGCCGCATGTGCATATGCATAATTGCATAGGAGTGGGATTGCAACCTGTAACAAGCCTGAATTTTGTCGCGGAATAAAAACTACATATTTTTCCTGACATTTAATGTCATGGATTTCCGCAAAGTAACGCATGATTCTATAAATTAGTAATAATTATGTTACATGACTTTTATGCTTTTTAAACTATACTGAATAGTCTGAAAAGCCGATAAATATGTATAATCCCTATAACAATTAGCGGTGAGTAGGTACAAGACTTAGGAAAACAATAACCAAAACAAAACACGACAGAAATTTATATTAATTTCTTTACCCACTTACATTTCTATTTCTTCCCTAATGGGAATTCCTGAAACATTTTGAAGATATTGTCATAGTGATGCTCTGTAATATTTTGGGACTGATCTGTATATATAGCTATAAATCTTTTATTTTCTTTGAGAGTTTTACCTACACTTACAAAGTTATTAGGAATGTGAATATCTTTTTGCTGATTAGAGGATTTCTGCACGTTCTTGTTTATTGCAGTTAACTACTTGAGTCACGGTTATATGATTATTTTGGGACAATTTGGATTCTAACCTAGAACTTTTTTGATCAAATGAATTTGACCTTTTTAGTTCTTTACATTTTAAATTATTTTGATTCTCTCTGGAGTTTAACCTAGATCTCTGTTGATCTGTTTATTACTTTAGACAAGCGATGCGACTTTAGTTTTATCATCAGAAGAACCGATAAGGAGTGGAATCCTTTGCCGTAATATAAGTTTTCCGAAGGTGGTCCATCGTTAGTCGCATTATTCCTTATCTCCAGGTGAGGTAGTGGCCATTTTTTATGTTTCTTGTTGCTTTAAAAAATGTTGCCCTACACTAAGATTTTCTCCTGTGTCGTGGGTGCGGTTACAAACATACAATTTCACATACACATGACACCCAGACCCGGAACAACAATTTGTGGATCACACAAAGAGTTGTTCCGTGCGGGAATCGAACCCGCAACACGTTGCCTGGCAGCCAGTTTCCCAGCCAACGCACCAACCATGCAGTCATTGATGTATTTTTTCACTATTTAGCATTTCCTAACCCATGACAAGTAAAAAATATTCTCACTACTACAAACCTTGTGTCCAAGGAGTTCTTTCAGTCGTTTTTTTTTTCTGCGCCATTCGTGTTAGGCGTTATTCAGCCTTTTCAATCCCAGTTTCAGACATCGTATCATCTGAAAATCCCTACTTTTATTGGGTTTTTGATGATTGTCTATAGTTGCTTAACATTTAAATCGCACATATTAACAACATAAATTACGCGGGTATTAACGCGAAAATAATTATCTAAATACCTTGGTAGGCTTGATGTTTCGACCTGGTTGCACAGGTCGTGGTCACAAGCAGACTGAAGATGCGATGTCACAGCTCCCGGCATTCGGGCGATGAATCACACATATTACTTTAATATGATGTTAAAATACTTCTGAGTAGCTAAACCCAATTTAAAATGTAAATCAAACAATCAACATCATGTATAATCTTCTTTATTTAATAATCCAAGAGAAATATAAACAGTTCTTTTTATAACATTACTGTCGAATTTAAAGAATAATATTAAAAAATGGTTAGTGAACTAAATAAGTCGAGATCAACTGATTTCCTAAATAATTGTGTCTCAAAAATTATTTATCTATAATTATTTAATTATAATTATTGAAATTCACTAACAAAGTATATTTATTTACATTTAGGCCAGCTAATGTAAGAAACGCTATTTTCTCAAATTCTATTTCCTATTACAATTATTCGATTTTATTATTAGGTATATCGTGTTATATAAATAATAAATAATTAATATAAACTTATGTTATAGAATTATATTATTCGTCTTTATTTTACAAATGCTGTCTCATTGATCTCTCCGGCGGTAATATTAAAATAATTTATATTTTATTAGCATTTTATAATGAAACATAATTATGTTAAACTGAATTTAAACTAAAAAAATATTTGAAATGCGTTTTAATCTAAATAAATGAAAAAAAAATTAATACAAATTAATTAACATTTTTGTAAATGAATTATTTTTAACAAATATTATTTTATCGTAGCAGTTCACACGTAATCTATATATTAGTCTATACAGCATTATGGTCCTAATTTATACAATAATTATTGAGCTTACAACATTATTGATTTTTACATTTAAAGGTACATTTATTCGAGAACATTCCGAGCATATTTCAAAGCTTTTAATGAAAAAGGTCCATTGTTCAAAAGAGTATGTGCTCATGGTAACAGCCATGTTTGAAATCATAAAATGAGAGCGGTAAATTTTCATAAAGCATCAATTTGAGCACTTTCCATACGATAAATGTGTTTCAATGCTGTAGGTGGGCCGTTGTCATAACTCTTGTTACGGTGTACAAGGTAATCTAGAACCGTCCTTATTCAGTTTGACGTTTTTAATTACATATTTTGCTTGAAATATTGTCAATTGTATATAAAGGTGCCTATACCATATTACTTAGACATGCTGAAAACAAACAGTAAGTTTATAAGTACAGAACAGTGAAGAAATAATGTAAGCTATTTCGAAAGATCTTGTAAAAATTAATAAAATAATGTATAAATGAACATTGCAATATTGTCTTTAAAAAAAATTGGTACATTTTTTTATTGAAATAATTCATCAAAAATAAAGCACATAATTAATTTTAAAAACAAACCGTGACGTCATGACTGTATTGTTTCGGTTTCAGGTTGAGATAAGCTCCTAAGACCCCGGAGTTACGTCTCGTGTGTCGTGACATAAGGCGTGGAAATGCCGACAACTTGGCTGGAACACTGCTTCTGTGCCTGGCCGGCTTTTGGCACCAAAACCAGCTGTTCTAGATCGCCCTGTCAGCGGAACAATCGTGTTATAATCCGATAAGAAATTGTTAACTAAATAAAACAGATGGGGTAGGTACGTTTTCATGGAATAAATATTTTTAAATAATACTTAAATAAATAGAAATTCATTTTAAATGATTAAATATTCAAATGAAATGGAAAATAGTTGTGATAATTTATTAAAGTATTGTTTTTTATTTATTCATAAACTGCAATGTTTTTCTAAAAACGCGCTTAAAAAAAATAATATTTGTTAGCAATTAACTCTTTTATTTTAGTTCGTTTTCAATTCAAACACTAACCCTTGCTTGTTTTTATACATAATTAAATATATTATTTGATGAATCATGACTTTATTACTGGGAAATTTGTAATGAATTTGCTTTTTGGAACTGGAAAATTATTTTGTAGAAAAATATTTTTAAGCCATTACATAATAATTATTTTTTAAAGTAATAATAAATATTGTTGTTAATTGTTATATACTTACAGAGAAAAGATATCCTATAATGAGATCAGCGTCCCTGGGCGTGTCAAGAGCATCTTTCTCAAGGACATCAGTTCGAAGCCAGCGGCAGTCGACATAAGCGCGAACTGTGTTGTCATCGTGCACACTGTAGACAGTAAATTATATTAGTATGACATAATCAGTAATTTGCCTCAGACAGTTTTCGTGAGTGGAAAAACATACAATGACTTTTCCCTTTTGAGGTCGGGTAGACTCAGTGCAGACTCTCTTAGTCTAAAAATATCCCAACTAAACATATTACATAGGAACATCCAAAATGTCAGAATACATATAAAAAAAAATGATAGTATTTCAGTCTGTTCGTCAGTGAAGCAGTCCACGCTGTGGACTAACAGAAATCATAATCCCAGTTGTCCACCTTCCTTCATGTCACGTTATTCACGTTTACTAAGTGTTAATAAAGATTTAATATAATAAAGAAATTATTATGATAGTATAATATTTCAAATGTAGGTATGTTTATTATACGTCATAAAAGCAATTTTAATATTAGAATGACAACTCGGGCATCATAGTACGAAACGAAATTTGGACAGATAGTCTAACATTTTTGACTAATCTAATTTTATTACAACATGGAAATGCCAATAACTTTTAAATTGAACTCTTATATTTTTTTAAGTAATTACTTTTGTGTCGATCTGTTCATTTTAATTCATAATAAAAACATGAGATGCTTTAATTGAAAATTCTTTTAAATAAAACTTGTTTTAATTACTGCTTCATTTCTATAGCTTGGTTGTTAAAATATTTTTTGCTCAAGATAGTTAAGTGTAATTTTGTCTAAACATTTCATATTTCAGGCACATCATATTTTAGTAATAATAATATTTCAAAACATTCGAGATGTCTAGCAGACTTACACTACACGTTGTCAGCAAAAACCTTCCTCAAGATAACAACTATAAATAGCTGTTCCTTACCATTTTAGGGCTACCAAAACTATAACATAAGCTCAAAACTATAACACAAACCAAAGCAAACAAGTTATTCGATGTCGTTGCTCTTATCGAACTATTTCTCCTACCAAAACGTTAAGCCTGATAGGGTTATACCTCCTTTGAGAATAAGCCCCACAGATTCCTCAGTTCAGATCCCTTGAGAGTGATTTTGTCGACGTCTACCACATAAACCTATATATAGCACGAGCCTTTTTGTTCAAACAATGTACTAGAGAATTCGGTTTGACATTAAAACTCTATTTCGTCCCATGAGGACGTTCCAAAGTTCTGGGTATTTTTTGGTAGAAACCCTAACTGGTAGTGATTTATTTGTGTAGTGTCCATAATGGGTTGTGGTGTTGGATTTGATGTTAAGATTTTTTTATGTTTTACCTACATTGTACGTACATTGTGCGCTATATTTTATGTTTAAATCCTTAGAAGAGTAGACAGTTCTCCATTGTTTTTGTGCAACCCACATTATTTGCAATATTTATTATGAGCTATGTACCGGAGCATAATGTTCGAAAAGTAGGAAAATTCCCAATAGTTTTTTACCCAACCCTATTTTGTTCTGCAATCAGGTTTGCAACCGAGAAGATTTTTGATCTTAGAAAGAACTGTGAACTCTCAGTGTGAAACAACACATACGTTGTTTTCATTTTACCGTGGGAGTCAGATTTTTTCTTTGTATCTCCAAACTCGAAATCCCAATCCTCAAATATCACCCAACCTCCAAAAGGTGGCCCCAAACCCCAAAACCACAGTGACTCCTCTAATGTTGTGGACCGTGTAGCTCTGATACGAGTAGCTAACCAAAAGATAGTCCAAATAGGAATATAGGCTTCTACTCCCAACTATCGAAAACCAGGCTGGATAGAAATACCATGACATTCCCAACACAGATGTTCTACTAGTGAGCCCATAATCAAATTATCGGACTTCTAACTAATGCCATTAGGAGCCTAATAGCTGTCAGAGGTCTCAATACTGACAAGTGATACTCTAAATATATGAAGCACTGTTTCAGTAAGTAACCAAGTAGACCATTTTTAGATTATCATGAGTTACAATGTGTCAACAGTAACAGAAAAATGATCTTCGGAGTGCCTGCTGAAGTGTTTTTTGAAGAGAAAAATTCATTAATGGTCTTCTCCTGGCCGGGGTGGGGCGAGATTGAGTATCAGACTCTTACTGAAACCCTGGAGCAACCTCAGTAGATATAGACCCTGTTGGGTCCTATCTATCGCGAACCGATAGCTTTGCGGCAATTTTTGAGGAAGCATTTATTAAATTTGACCTCATTAACAAAGGCTTCAACAAACAAAACAAACAGACAGTCATGTGCACGTCTTGTTAATTTTAGTTGAACTCCTGGAATAATTAAGCAGTTCCAGCTAATAACTTTAATTTTGTTTACGTAAATACCAAATTCAAATATCAATAAAATTGAACGCCAACTATAAATTAATTGGAAAAAATAAACAACTACATGGAATTTTAAATTGAACTTTTATATTTTTTTATTAAGTAATTACTTTTGTGTCGAGCAGTTCATTTTAATTCATAATAAAAACATAAACATGAGATGCTTTAATTGAAAATTCTTTTAAATAAAACTTTTTTTTAAATTATTGCTTCATTTCTATAGCTTCGTTGTTCAAATATTTTTTAACTAAAGATAGTTAAGTGTAATTTTAGGAGAAGATCGTATTTTTTTATGTAATAGTTTAGCAAACGAGTAGACGGTTTAGCTAGCTAGCTTAGCTAAACAAGTTACGAGTGCGTTGCCGACTTTTTAGGGATGAATGTTTTGGAGATTTAGGGATTGGGGAGGGATCGGGGGAGGGGAAGGATTGGGCCTCCGGAACCTCACTCAAACGGCGAAACGCAACGTGGTTATTTCACGCTGGTTTTCTGTGAGGCCGTGGTATCACTCCGGTCGAGCCGACCCCTTTGTTCCGAAGCATGTCTCTCCCACACCTAGTATTTTTTCCATGTTCGGTCTAGGGTCAAAAGTGCAATTGCACACTACCAATGCGAAAATGTGTAAAACTTCTTAGTAATACAAGTTTAAGAATCTAAAAACGTGTCATTACGTACATTAAAATCTATTCTACAAATTAATAAGTAACATCTGACACTCAATTGTAAAAAAAATAGCCACTTTAGCATTAGTAAAGTACGATTGCAATTTTGACCCTCACTGTGGATAAGTAGAAATACAGATCGCAACCATCCGATCTAGAAGTTCTTTTTTTTAACCCCTGACGGAAAAATAGGGGTGTTATAAGTTTGACGTGTCTGTCTGTCTGTCTGTGGCATCCTGGAGCCTGAACGGGTGAAGCGATTTCAATTTAGTTTTTATTGTGTTAAAGGTGACTTACGTGCGAGTGTTCTTAGACATGTTTGACGAAAATCGGTTGAGCCGTTTAGAAGTTATGGGGGGTAAATGGGGAAGGGTAACCGAAGGTCTGCTAATATACTCGAGTGGGGTCTCAAATACTGCGTTGGCCAGGGGGCGAGTCGTCGTGGCGGTGTCTCTGGACATCGCCAACGCCTTCAATTCGTTGCCCTGGAGCTGCATTCTGGAGGCACTCCGGTATCACCGGGTGCCTGCCTATCTCCGTCGTGTAGTCGAGGCTTACTTGACGGACAGATGCGTCATCTACCCCGGTCACCGGGGCGTGTGGAATCGGCGAAAGGTGTCGCGCGGTGTCCCACAGGGATCGGTCCTGGGACATCTCCTGTGGAACATCGGGTACGATTGGGTGCTACGCACCGACCTCCCGAGCGGCGTCAGCATTGTCTGTTATGCTGACGACACGCTGGTGCTGGCGAACGGGAGGTCGCATCAGGCGGCGGCCGACCTGATGTCACAAGCGGTTGCGACAGTCGTTGCAAGGATCCGGCAGTTGGGACTCGAGGTGGCGCTCCACAAGTCCGAGGCCATGTGTTTCTATGGCCGTCGGAACGCGCCACCTCCAGGTGGGTCCCAAATAACGGCAGGAGGAGTTACCATCGGCGTCGAGTCGGTGATGAAGTACCTGGGTCTCGTCCTCGACAGCCGATGGAACTTCACGGAGCATTTTCGTCGTTTGGCCCCTAAGTTGGAACGGTCTGGGGCCGCGCTCAAGCGGCTCCTTCCCAACCTCGGGGGGCCAAACGCCTCCTGCCGGAGTTTGTAAATGGGGATTGTGCGATCCATGGCCCTCTACGGTGCCCCTGTGTGGGCGCCGGACTTGAAGCGGCGGCCGGCTCGTACGCTGGTCGCGTCCCGGAGGGTCATGGCCATCCGAATAATCCGCGGATATCGCACGATCTCCGGGGAGGCGGCGAACCTCCTTGCCGGATCACCGCCGTGGGATCTAGAAGCGAAGGCGCTCGCGCGCGTCTACAGTTTGCGCGCAGACGCGCGTCGCCGGGGCGAAGATCCTCTGCCGCGCCAAATTAGTGCGTGGCGGAATGAGCTCCGGCGAGATCTCATGGCAGAGTGGAAACAACGACTGTCGCAACCGAGGGCCGGGCACGCTACTATAGCAGCGGTAAGACCCCTCTTTGAGGAGTGGCTTGAGAGACGCCACGGCGTCCTCACCTTCCGTCTGACGCAGGTGCTTACCGGGCACGGCAGCTTCGGTAGGTTCCTGTTTCGGATCCAGCGGGAGGAAACGCCCGAGTGTCGTCATTGTGAGGACCACCTAGAGGATACGGTGGAGCATACGGTAACGGTATACCCTGGCTGGGCTGAGCACCGCCGTATCCTCAGGGAAGTGATCGGCGGCGGCGACCTCTCGCGCCCGGCCTTAGTCGAGGCCATGGTGCGGAGTGAGAGGAACTGGGACGCCGTCTCCTCCTTTTGTGAAGAAGTCATGCTCGCAAAGAGAGAGGCGGCCCGCGTGAGGGAGCAATCCTCCTCCTCACGCCCCAGCAGCCGCAACTGGCGAACTACGGGCGTCGGGGATCAAGGGACGATCTCCGGCCACCGTAAGCACGGGCCTGCGATCGGCGAGTAAGGGCAGCTCGTCGCCCGACTAGAACCAGGCCCGAGCGTACGGCGCGTAGCGTTTCGCGCGCGCCTCAAAGAGCCATTACACCACCACAGACGGGGCCCTAAAGGGCTGATGTTCAGCCGGGGTTGCGGGGTAAGCGCAATGAGGCACCGCGACCTCGGCATAGAGCAGGAGAAGGAACAGGGGGTTTTTAGTCAAGTTTTAAGAGTCTGACACTCCCTCCTGCCCGGCCCTGGGCGGGAGAAGCCACTTGCTGATTTTCCCCTCACAAAAAAAAAAAAAAAGAAAGTGGGGTCTCAAATGAATCCGCACTGAAAGGGAATGTTGATGACTTAATCGAAAGGAAATGATATAAAACTATAAAAAAAATTAGACCCCCGACAAAATAGAAATATGTAGTTGATAATAAAATGTATGGATCGGTCCCCAACGACACGTTTTCTTTTGATTATTACTTTTTAAAGGAATATTATATTGTTTGTCGGGGATTTACTAAATTTTAAATTTATAATTAATTATTATGTATGGCTTTAAGGATAGAAGATTTCAGAATGGGAGGGGAAGGGAGAAGGTGTTCAACGTAAGTGTTGTGTCATGCCGGTATTCTGTGAGGCTGTTATTACTCCGGTCGCCAAGCCTGTTTGCACCGAAGCATGGCTCTCCCACATAGGTGAAGGACATAATTTTTTTTATTTTATTCATTTCCATTAATTTTCAAAATTCCAGATATTAAGATATATAATTAAGAGTTATTAAATTACATTAGATACAATTGAAGATCAACTAACTTCTGTTGAGACAGCATCAACATCAGGTTCTACTCATAGCATCTCTTTCCTCATGGATAAAGAATGAGCAGGATTGAAAGTTCAAGGGTTAACAAGGACAATAAAAATGATACACCATTTTATTTTTTATTATTCAAATATCGAGCGTATCTGGCCTGCCTAGACAATAAAAGGCGTGGACTACATAGTAACCGCTTATTAAAAAATAAAAAATACAACATGTAAATTTTGGTAATTAAAACGTCTGAAACACTGAATTCTGTAAGAGCTTTCATTTCGTTGCTACACACAAAATTAAATGAGGTCTGTGGTTGTCTCTTAGTCAAAGAAGGTTGTCTTAAGTTACTCTTTGTATATTTGAAAACTATGCTTTTGTGTGCTATCTTAAAATGTATGTTCTAAAGGACTTGTTTGCGGGTTTTGCGTATATTGCTTAGGTATATATATGTTTAAAATATATTCAAGATATTCATTAACATTTTATTAGAAATGGCTGAGTGAAAACGAAAACCTTTTTACAGACCAGTTAAAAAAAACTAAACAACATAAAGGTATATAAAAAAGTGTAGAGGCTACAAAAATAGTTTTCATTTTTAGTTTGAGAGCACGGTCGGCACGGTGACTAGGCAAGAGGATGCAGCGCAACGTGTCGCGGGTTCGATGGCCGCACGAAACCACTCTTAATGTGATCCCCAAATTGTTGTTCCGGGTCTGGTTGTGATGTTTATTTGAAATTGTATAGCTAACGCACCCGCGACACAGGAAAAATCGTTGTGTGGGGTAACAACGTAATTAAAAAAAGTCATATCAATAAAGAAAACCAAAGTTTAATTCTTTCAAAAAATAAAATTCAATACTTTACTTTATATTGCTTTTAATTAAAATATGGATTATATATCCCAAGGATTTTCTCTAGTATGGAGGTCGCGGTTTTACATATCGTATATCATGAAAGTATCGTTATTTTTCAGTATTTTAATAGGTTTATTATTATTATTATTATCCACGATGTTACTTACCAAAATATTGAAAAAAAAAAGATAAATTACCTTCAAAATAAATGTTGGATTTACGTAATAAAATGTGACATTCGGCTTCCTCTTATAAGAAAAAGAAATAGGACTTGACAACAAAAACTTTGTTTGGGATCAGTAGAATTTTCTTGGAACTGAGATCCTACTGGTAAAAAAATATCCTATCAAGTTTATACTCCAGAGTAATTTATTTTCTACAAAATATTAAGTTATTTTACATTAAAATAGGTACAAAATTCAGAAATTAGAATTTCACTACTATAGTATTACGCTTAACCAAGGTTATAAGCTACGGAGTTCAGAACGTCGTGCTAAAGCTGTCAGTTATCTTAGAACTAAGCGTTGTATGCACGCGGGTATTCACTATTCAGTCGGGACAGAGACAAGCTGCTGGTCTGCCGGGCCCTGGTGTACGAGCTCGTGCAGGCGCTGAGGACCACCATACCTGATGATAACCTGCTTATATTGATACAGTTCGTGCCTATTTGTGAAAATAAGTGTATTACGCACAAAATAATAGGAGTGATGATAGTGCCTTTTATGGTTGAGGTGGTAATCGAGGCGGTTACTTGATGGAATGCAATCAGCACCGCCCATGGACACACGTCACACCCAAGGAGTTATTACTGCAATTCCGGTTTTTTGGTGATTAGAGGATTAAATTTTGTCTGCCAGTAAATGAGACAATTTGAAAAAAAAACCATTATGTCTTGCGTATATCAGGAGTTTAATATACTATCGATCTATTAAATTAATATATTTTTATAGACAAAAGTACTATAGTATAATTATAGTATAGTATAATGTATTTAAGGGTGATTTTTCAATGGTTACATAAAAGTTATCTAGGGAATAATTATGATGCTGTCGCGTCAGTGTTTGTATAAGACAGTGACAGCAACAATTGTATTCTTACGGAAGTACATAAATGTTTTAACTAAAAAATACCTAATAAATATGTTTATTCCGTACACAAAATATCAAATACATTAAGCCTCAGAATATCCCGAAACATATTCGTGATTGGATTACAAATATCCGAACGTATCCGAAAACTGTCTCTAATAAGTGATCCGCAAGTTTTTGATCTCATAAGTCTGGATGAGAGATCGGATACTTCGGTAAATTAGACGAAAATGGACCAACACTATTTGCAACTTGGCGAAACACATAAAACTTGTTTATGAAGGCCGAGAAAGAAAAGATAGTAAAGAAGAAGAACAAATAAAACAAATGAAATATTGGATTCAACCTTTTTGTTGTTTCTTGAAGACTATCGACTAGCCTGGGCTTCGCACGGATGCAATGGTAATACTAAATTCCTCTACTATTTAATGGTTGTTATTACACGTAAAAAAAGCCTCTTCAATCGCGATATCTATTAACAAAACACGCTACCTAATAACAGAACTACATCAAAATCTGTTGTGGTTTTAAAGATTTGAGCGCACATACGGGTAATAAGGACAGTGAAAGCGACTATGTTTTATACTATGTTTACTATAGGTAATTTACAAATTACACAACAATATTTTTGTATGTATTTTATGTCAAAACACATACTTACGTATTTCTTGGAAAATTACTTAAAAAAATACAAATAATAGTTTAATATTTTACGAGTATTCGACAAGCAATGGACAAAATTGAGTTATTTTGATATTTAATTGCAATGAAAATTCGCTTTTCTTAGATAATTCACGTGTTTTTATTTAAAAAAAATCAAGTAAGTTGTGTAATCTATGAATTATTGGCCGGTGTAGAAAAAACATTTGGTTGAGCATCAAAAAGAAAACCGACTACCATGCCATCGATTCTCGCAAGGAATAACAGTATCAAATTATTATGCGTGTGAAAGCATAGGAAAACAGGACAAAGGAAAAAAATGCTGTTAACGGCAAACAATAATCATGTTTCTACAAACCTGATAGCAATATGATGCCAGCGGAAGTCATACAAAGGTACAGCTAAATATATGGAGCGTGAGGTCCCTGAGCCAGCGTGCACCAGCCTGGCTGCTCCTCTTCCCGCTAACTCCAGGGAAAGGAAGGAACCCGTGCGCCTTCGCGACCGCAAGGAAAATAGTGTCCCTTGACCGTAGCCGCCGCTCTGTGAAACATTGAGTCGGTTAGAAAATTGAATTTAAATACAAGATATTTAAAATATTGTAATATGAAGCTAAGTTATTTTAATTTTGAATTCAAATAAAAATGCATGAATAGTTTTACGAATTATCTGTATTAACATTTTATTTGAGTTCAAAATTAAAAGGTTAATACAGATAGTTCGTAAAACTATTCATGCATTTTAATTTATTTTTAAATTGTTCGTAAGTAATTTAAAACAATGTAATAAATGACTAAATCCAATAAGGTTGTTGTTTCACGATATAGGTATTAAAGCTATCTGATTTAAAAAAATCAACGAACAATTTCGAATTTTGTTTGTTTCTTTCGGGATTTCTCGATTGTTTACCGATAGTTATTGTATAGCTTCTCTTCTTAAGAGTTTATTTGCGTTGCTATAACGCAAAAGGATACGAAATTATAGAAAACATATACATTTCGGTGTTTTTAATGTAATAGGTTGGCAAATGAGGAGGTTGATTACCAAATGGTAAGCATTCGGCGCCGCCCATGTATACCCGCCATAAGAGTCACGAGTACGTTGCTAGCCTCTGGGGATTTGGCTTTCGGAGATTTAAATTGTGGAGGGAAATGGGGCAGGAGAAAGATTGGGCCTCCGGTAACCTCATTCACACGGCAAAACACTACGCTGTGTTTGTTTTATGCAAGATTTCAGGGCCTTTGAGGCCCTGGTATCGCTCCGGTTGAGCCGACACATTCGTGTTGAAGATTGGCTGTCACATACATATCGGCATATGATTTGTGGTAATTTGATATATGTTTTTTTATTGCAATTTAGACAAAATACGTTTTAGATTGTATTTTGCCTTTACTTTAGAGGATTGTATTTTAAGTGTGAACGAATGGGTCGGCTCGACCGGAGTGATACCACGGCCTCACAGAAAACCGGCGTGAAATAACCACTGCGTTGTGTTTCGCCGTGTGAGTGAGGTTACCGGAGGCCCAATCCTTCCCCTTCCCCAATCCCTCCTCAATCCCTAAATCTCCAAATCCCTAATCCCTAAAAAGTCGGCAACGCACTCGTAACACCTCCGTTGCGAGTGTCCATGGGCGGCGCTGATTGCTTACCATCAGGTAATCCGTCTGCTCGTTTGCCGAGCAGACGGATTACCTATTACATAAAAAAAAATTAAAAAGTTGGTTAAAACAACACTCACCTCCGGCCGTAACCTCAATGAGATGAATAATGTGAATTCTCTAGGGAACGATTTCCCAGCAGAAAACAGTTCTGATGATGCGATCCAGATGTAGGAATTCGGCCTGAGGCTGAAGGCATGTGGTCGATCTGATACCGGCCCCCACCTCGCTTGCGCTGGGTGAAAATTACGCCTAGCGCCCGGCGCCAGCGGGTTTATTGTACCTGCGAAGAATTAAATTATAATGTATGTCGACGTTATTGCTTTGCACAAATTGTTGCTACGTTATTTAAGGTTTTATATTATTTTAATATTTTTAATTGATGATTTTATTTTTCTTATTGTTTACGATAAGAAGTGTGGGTATTCCACAAAATGTTTGGTTTTTCTTTGTTTATCATGAACTATAATTAATTCAATATTTTTTGGTCAACTAACAATACGATACATTTCTGATACATCGACAAAAATGTCAGTAAGCAACAAAATTTATGCTTGTTTCCTAACTTTACTACCGAAAATTCGCTATAGGTACATTGCTTAGTGTTCAAACACACCCGTTAAACCTTGTCAATCAGAATGACATGTACTGCGTAAAAGTCGATTAAAAATTATTCTGCAACAAGCTGTTTTCAAGCTAAAATCACTTTATCAAAATGTCACCTACACCCTGCATACTTGTTTGGTAACTCCTCGTCGACCTATCGATTTCATGCTGTTACGATGTCAGTTAACGAGCTAGTCTGGAAATAATTTAAAATCCAATATTCGTTTACGTTTAGATTGAGAACAGTTTTCAAGTGATGTGGAACGTTTACTAAAACGTTTGCGTTTACAAAGTTGAATGAATAGTTTGTCGGAAAGGTTAAATAGAAATTGCTTTTTAGCTGCGTATGTGGTTTTGAGGTAAATTTGAATGCCGGGCCTTGTTACAGTCATGATGGGATGCACGAAGAGTTTAATGCAGCAGAGCGAAAATATTACTCGCGTTTTCAAAAGCTCGAATTTTACAGCTATTATGCATCAACTCAAAACACGTTTACGAAAAACGTTTAGCACAAAACTCTAATTAAATGTTTCTTTCAAACCAATTAATTAGTATGAGGATAGCTTTAAACCAAATCGTGAAAAGTCTTTTATAAACTATAGTTTTTTTTTGTGAGACGATAAACATCAAATGACTTCTCCCGCTCACAGTGTCAGACTCTTACTGACTAAAAATCCCCCGTTTCTTCTCCTGCTCTCTGGGCCGAGGTCGCGGTGCCTCATTGCCCTTACCCCGCAACCCCGGCTGAACATCAGCCCTATAGGGCCCCGTCTGTGGTGGTCTATTGGCTCTTTGAAGCGCGGTCGATAAACTATACGATGGACAATCAACATAATGAAACGAATTTGAACCTTAATAACATACTTAATTAATTTTAATACACTCACCTTCACAGTCGAAAGAGTTGCAAGCCCTTCCCTGTTCCCCGTACCCTTCGCAGGTGGGTTTTGAGCAGTACCTCCTGCGAGTCTGTCGCCCAACTCCGCAGGTCCTACTGCAGGCGCCCCACTCCCCCCACCCTGCCCAACCTGCAATATTGATAGATGAACTCCCGACCCAGAGTTATTGCTATAGTTTTACGTAGTTTTGTTTGCAGAAAACTTTTGTCCGGAGCCATGCAATTACGCCCGTTAACGAGTAGGAATAGAGCTGATTTTGTTTTGAAGTTTTTTTAATCAAGGTTTTGTTAGATTTTGAGTGGTTTAAATTTGAATTTTTTACTGTGGCAAGATACACGGCAATGTTTTTTATTAAAATATTTTTGTGTTCATTAAAATGAAAACACTTTTTTCAGCATTTTTGTTGGTTTTAGTGGCTAGATCCAGTTACAAAAGTTAGCATTGTAAATCGTGTTGTTTAAAACCTTCATCTGTCACTAAATATATTCTATCTTTGAATGATCACAAACAAAAGGCATTGATATAAACTGAAAGCTTAAAAATGGGGACAAAATAATAAACAACGTTATATATATTTAATTTGTTATCTGTGGAATAAAATTGTTGCTGTCACTTTCTTATACAAACTTTCTGACGTGACAGCATCGTATTTATTCCCCAGGTAACTTTTATTTAACCATTGAAAAACAGCCCTAATTAGGACTAAACAAAAAATAGACCAACTGAATAAATTATTTGTATCACAGTACATCAATAAACTCTATTATTAAACATAAACAAAAAATAAACTATCAAATCATTAAAACTTCATAAACAAACCATGGCCAGTAAATTTTCAGCGTTTGTTATAAATTGTGATTTTCAGATCTGAAAATACAGACTCATTTCTCTTAGTTTACTCTTCAAACTTTCGCTGTAAATCTCAAAGTTGGTTGGTCTATTTCTTTTATTTCGCTGTGTAATTAACAGGTGAATTTTAGTATTCATTAACGGAATTTCTGTAATGGCCCTCTGTCTCCGGTCGGGATTGAGTTAGGAGTACCGGAATTACGTTATTTTGGAGGCTAACATAGTCTACATTAATATTATGCCACAGGAATTTAGTATCGTTGTGGACAATTACATTCTTGGGTCTAAACATTCTTCTGCCATCTAGTGGCAAGTATTGCAAACACAAATTATTGCCATTCTTGTTTCTCATGAGGTTTATAACACAATGGCAACCAACATAAAGCTCTTAAATATTGATATAGGTACTTTCTTAGTTTAAAATTTATTTTAATTTATTTTAAATTTATTACTGTCCTATTACATATAATGCAAAGAGTATTTAGTAAAATGAAAACATCTCTCCAAAAGTATAAGCAGTCTTTAGAATAGGTACTTCTCAAAAAAAAAATATTTCAATAAAATGGCAGAATTAGAAAGAATTCAGAAATTTGATAAAGTCTAACAACCTAGTCTTTGGCAAGATGATTGTAGATATCTTGATAGCCTTCTTTTTTAACTGTTAAGTATTTTAATTTGATTTTAAAACATTTATGGTAGACGTTAATAATTAAAGAGTAGGTCGTGTCTTACCAACAGCGTTCCATATGGCAATATCAACGCCAAGGCTCCAGGGTACGGCTGCAGCAGTCGCCTCCAACCACGGCCCGTCTGGTGGAGTGGTTTCCAAGTCAACTGCAGGATCGCTGATCCGTGCAAAAACCACCAGCTCGCTTTGAGAAGGTGCCATACTCCAATTGAAGCAGTCACCCAGTTGTGGACTTATTTTTAAATTCACTTGTCTGTTGACAAAAAAATGGTTAGTATCAAGTGTGGGAGAGCCATGCTTCGGCACGAATGGGTTGGCTCGGCAAGAGTGGTACCACGGGTCACAGAAAATCGGCGTGGAACAACTACAAATTTGTGTTAAAGTGATGTGAATGAGGTTAAAGGAGACCCAATCCTTCCTCTCCCCAATCAATAAATCCTCTAAACCCTAATCCCTAAAAGGTCGTCAATGCACTCGTTACTCTTTCGTCCATGGGCGGCGCTGATTGCTTACCATCAGGAAATCCGTCTGCTCGTTTGCCGTTCCATTACATAAAAAAAAACAAAAACTTTCTTGAAATATTTTACGTGCTCACATAATAAACTCAACTCCTAATTTAAAATTCCATGTTAAAGTAAATTCTAGATTTTCAAGAATAATATTTTCGTTTTTTGGGCCAAATTGAAAAACTAATTTTGCTAGGCAGGTATTTAATTTTATAATGCTGGCACTAAACACGGTCTTAAACACTTGAAGCCAGATGCAAAGAAAGAAAAAGAAAATAAGAGTGGGTATTATGTTTATTACCTAATACACTAAAGAAAGTCTTAGGTTTTATTTTATTGAAACGACTTGTGTGAACGAGAAACAACTTATATAATTTATTTATTTTTCGATTGTTAATTTAATAGTTATAATGTCTTGTTTTGATGTTCATAACACACATTTTTTTCTATTCTTACAGAATCAAATACGTTCGAATTTTAAATATCGTGTGACGACATGATTTAGTACATTTTAAACGACCATCCAATGAAATTTAAATTCGTCATAAATGTAAGAATTATTTTGCTATAAAATTATTATTATTCTATTAATAATAGGTAATTCTTGACTTTCCACCGACGGATTATATTGAATTTTATTTTTTCATACTAAGACATCATTCTTATTTTAGTAATACTTACCAAAAATCATACAATACGAGCAAAACCTCGCACAAAATGTAGCTTATACTAAGCTAATAAGCTAGGTTATTAGTTAATAACCTACATGACAAACTCTCGTGTAATTAGGTCACGTGATATATGAGATATTTTGAATTTTCCTTTGCCAGCAAAGCCAAGATTAAAGCGATACATTTTCTTTGTGTTGTTATTAATTTTGATATTCTTGTACATACATATATGTAGGTATAGCGAAAATAATTACCACGTATATTAAATTATTTTCATAAGATATTATTCGTAAATTAGTTATAAAATAATTTGTTTTGTGTAAGCTAATTAGTTTTTGATAACAATTTTAGACTTTAAAGTCATATGATGTATGGTATAATATAGAATTAATTTGATACATATTAAGAGTGTCGTTTATGTTATCGTATATATATAATAAGACTTTGCCACCTGACTTAACTGAAAAAACTAACTACTAACTAAGCCAACCGTGTCTGCTGCACGACCTAGCCAAGACGCGCAAATTGCGTATGAGTAAGAGTCCCGTCGTGACTCGAAACTTGTCGAGCTTTCCTCAGTTAAACCATGCGAGTCAGTAATTCTTTTCAAAAAATAAGTATATTTCACAATAATATGGAGTATATGTATATAGATATAATGGAGCTATTTCGAATTAGACGTTTAGCACTCTTTTGAAATCTATGCAAACAAACAAATGCATGTGTGGGAGAGCCATGCTTCGGCACGAATGGGTCGGCTCGACCGGAGTGATACCACGGCCTCACAGAAAACCGGCGTGAAATAACCACAGCGTTGTGTTTCGCCGTGTGAGTGAGGTTACCGGAGGCCCAATCCTTCCCCTCCCCCAGTCCCTCCTAAATCCCTAAATCTCCAAATCCCTAATCCCTTAAAGGTCGGCAACGGACTCGTAACTCCTCCGTTGCGAGTGTCCATGGGCGGCGCTGATTGTTTACCATCAGGTAATCCGTCTGCTCGTTTGTCGACCTATTAAATAAAAAAAAAAGTCGCCATTCGGCCTTGAGCAAGCGTGGTGATTAATGCTCAAACCTTCTCTTATAGGTTGATGATGTGATTTTATGCCTAGCAGTGGATAAAAACGGACTTATGATGATGATAACAATGATTATAAAACAGCGAATTCCTTTACATAAATGATTCAAAATACTACTTTATTCTCTCAGATAGTTTACTTTCCACTCCACAATGCTCATATTATAAAAGCTTGTAGAGAAATATCTAAGAAATACTTCACAAATGTGCCAAGCGTTGTTGAAAATGAAAACTTCAACTCAGATACTCGCGCTGCTTCTAAAAACACAAGTGGAGGTAATATTTTAAAGGAATTTTATGTCTTTTTGTATTTTTAAAATTCTATTTTAACAAAATATTAGCGTCGTTTGTTTTTTAAAGCACATAGGTATCATAACATCCCCAAAACTGTGCTGACCTTTTTGGGTCAGAGTTTTACTATTATAATAGGGATTGGAGATGGGAGAACTACTCACACGGAAAGCAACATACATTTAAAAAAAAACATTGCCCCTCTCTAGGATTTTCTCCGGTGTCGTGGGTGCGTTTAAAAACATATAATTTCACATGCACATCACACCCAGACCTGGAACAACAATCTGTGGATCACACAAAGAGTTGTTCCGTGCAGGAATCGAACCCACGACAGGATGCGCGGCAGCCAGTTGCCCAGCCACCGCGCTAACCGCAGTTAAATATATGCGTTTGTAAACGCCGGTTCTCTGTAAGGTCATATCATTCCGGTTGGGCCGGACCATTCATGGCAAAACATGGCTTTACCGCACTTTTTCACTTAGCTACAATTTTATTCTTAAAGAGAACGCAATAAAAATTCAGCTCCCGTAGGAATTCGTTTTATTACAATTCCTTAAACCTAAGTTAAATTGATAAATAAAGTAACAACGTGCAACAAGTTTCTTGTTTCAGTTAAAGACAAAATAAGACAAAAGAAACAAATTCTATTTCACTATTCGCCCGTTATTTGTGAGAATGCAAAAAGAAAATGAACTTAAAGTTTTAGTTACAAAGACGCCGTTAGAGAATTCTTCTGTTTTGCTATACGGTAAATTATTAAGAACTAGCTTCTGCCCGAGACTTCGCCCGCGTGAAATATTGACTAGTGCAGATCTTTGGTTTAAAAACTATACCCTATGTCTTTTATCCAGTTCCAAAATATGTCTGTACCAAATTTCACACAAATCGGTTCCGTAGGTTTGGCGTGAAGAAAATATAGACAGACAGAAAGACAGAGTAACTTTCGCATGTATAATATTGGTTTGGATTTTCTATATTTACTTTTATTTCGTAGGGCAGTCAACTGTAAAACATATCACCTGATGGTACTTAAACAATTTACGCTGCCTGGAGACAGTCGCAACATCAGAGAAGTAATCTGCCTGGAAGACTGCACGGTTAGTGCGGTTCCTGGGTGCCTGGCGGCCGTGCAACTTGTCGCGGGTTCGATTTCCACACGGAACAACTCTTTGTGTGATTGACAAATTGTTGAAGAATGTGGAAGATATAGATATGATATAGATAAGAAATATAGGTTGAAGTTGTGAAAACCCTAATGTGGGGCAACGTTTTTTAAAAAAGACAAAATCTCCATGCTTGCTGTCCGCTTTTTGGAGGTAAAGGATTTAAAGATTGGGGATTTGGAAATGGGGGATGAAGGGAACGATAAATCTTTCATAGGACACGATTGGCTAAGCTAATGTCTCTCCTTTCGAACAGACCTATTTTTAGAAAGCATGGCTTCCCTACCCAATCAAAAGGGTTGAACTCAAAACTTGAAAATCGATACTGACGTTTAAGTCAACAATACAGAGCAAACAGCAGACAACAGTCAAGTACTTACAAAATTACAGAGTAAAAATGAATTAAACAAAAAACAAATAACACAATTTCAACTTTATGCAAAAGCCATTAAAGTTCAAACGTGAACGTATTAAATTATTCAGAGACACAATCCTCGATAATTATGTTCATTTGTCTGGTAATTATGGAGCCGAAAAGTTTTTATTATTATGTATGTACATTAAAATTGCCCTTTTTGATATTAATGTTATTTATTAAGGACGTTACCGGGTGCTTTAGTACTCAAGTCAAAGATGCAAAGGTTATTTATGATGGAAATTTTCCCAAGTTTATTATCATAATTGATGGCTCAAAATGATTTGAATGGTTGATGATAATGAAATTTTGGTAGTAAAACACAAGGTCTACAAAGATTTTACTATGTCTGCTCGTAAAATTGCTTAACTACCACAGCGTTGTGTTTCGCCGTGTGAGTGAGGTTATCGGAGGCCCAATTCTTCATTTCCCCTTATCCCTCCCCAATCTCTAAATCTCCAAATCCCTAATCCCCAAATGGTCGACAACGCACTCGTAACTCCTTTGTTGCTGCGGGTGTCTATTGGCGGCGCTGATTGCTTAAAATCATGTAATCCGTCTGCTCGGTTGCCGACCTATATGATAAAAACATCGCTAGTACGGAAAACGAATTCTTGGAGGAGTAATGTCCGTTTGTCGATAAAAAGCAGCCTATGTGATGTGTTAATCCAGGGTGTCACATATCATATCTACATATCAAGATTTAACCAAATCAATTCAGCCGTTTTGAAAGAATAACAAAGCCGCGTGAAAGAATAACAAACACACCCATGTATTCTCACAAAATTTCACATTTATAAAATAAGTCGGATGTATTTATTATGTATTATTAGGAATTTTATTTCTTTCTTGTACTGTAACTTACACAGGCTTAGGGTTGTCAAGTTTGTGCAATAATGCACCGTGGTCTCAGCCTGAACCACGGCGTCAACCTTAAGCAGGAATCCGAACGGAGTGGTTTTAGTCATTCAGAGTCTGACACTCCTCACGCTCTAGGCGAAAGAAGTCATAAGATGATTTTCCCCCCAAAGAGACATACCAAGTTATAGAGGTGACATTTTCAACCAACGTAATTTTAAATCCAGTTATAAAAGTCGCAATAAACCTGGTTAAGTAAACAGTAATAAAAAGA